CCTCTGTCATCATTTTAAGTGGGGGAACTTGCACAATCGGTGGCTGACTAAATACTTTTTTGCCCCACTGTATATATACATACATACACACATATATATATATATATATGTGTATGTATGTATATATACATTTCAAGTTATGAAAATAATTCAGTAAACATGTCTGTGATTTTTATACGGTATAAGATTTGTCATAATAAATGCGTGATCAAGCAGATCAATGGGACGAAACTTCATAGGCTTCAAAACTTGCAGTATCCTGAGGTGTCCATCAAAGTGGCCAATCACATTAGGATGCCCTACTTTGGGCTCCGCCTCCAAATTGTCAAAAATAAACGTAATTGTGATAATTTCTGTGAAAAGAAATTATTTGCTCGGATTATTTTTTTGCTCATGTAATTGTTACGACATAAATCTAATCCCATATGTTTACAGTAGTAAAAATATATATTTTTTTCCTACTAAACGTTTATGGGAGGGGGAGGGATTTCAGATAAATTGTCTTATGTGTAACATAATGTGAATGACGAATGTTTAGAGTCATACCCGAAACCTCTATAGATCTATAAAGGAGTCTCTCAGTACATCTGATTACAGTGAGGGACAAAGAAGCAGTAGAAACACACACATAGTAAACATGTAGAGACAGGCAGCAGCAAATAATCTGCAGAGAGCTTGTCTGCCTGCTGCAGACTTGTTGTAAGTCACAGATCAGTTACTTAGAAAAAAACAAAACAAGTGTATTTAAGACTTACTGTTTTGAAGGGATCACTTAAAGACTCTTCTGATCATCAGGGGCAAAAAGCTATCCATTAAAAGACTAAAAAAAGTGTGAGGTCTGTTTTTTCGGGGGTAAAAAGAAACCTGCTGTTTAATTACACTCAAACAAAAAGTTTTACAAAAGTCAGTTGTTCAAAAATCAGAAGATTAAGTATAAAAGTTAAATCTCTGTGGGTAAAGCGACCTCTGTACCAAGCAGCCACAGACCTGTATTACCGTGTATCAGCCTGTTTTACACAACACACCCTGCACCTGTGTGACTTCAGTGCCATCACCTTAGCAACCACATTCCTATCTCCACTGTTTGTTCCATATATGGAACTAATGCACACCTGCAGGGGCAAAGTAACAAAGTAACAGCTTATGAATCCAGGAGATTATATGAGAGCCGATATTTAAAAGCAAACCTAAAATTAAAGAAATAAAAAGCAGAATTCATAAATCCAAGCATTAATGGTTATAAACAAAAAATGTTTACAAGAGAAACAAAAATAATTTAACACATTAAATACAGTTTAATGGAAATGTGGTAAAACCAACACACTTGATTCTGTTGTTTTCTTTGTCTGTTTTTATCAGAGCTATCCCAGTATTCTATAGAAATTCAGTGAGCTCCAGCATTGCATCCAGCTTCTTTCTTAGTATGCTGCATTTGGTAAATGCAAAATCATTACTGTGCATGATAATAAGGCCTTATCTGTTAAATACATTTAGAATACCAAAGTTAAAATAATGTCACACATATTTAATTGACACTCAAAGTTTGTTTTGAGTGCACACTTTTTTTCTGTCTGTCTCTGTTGTACCTTTCCTC